TATTGTTTATGTTTTCATTTGTCATATTCGTTATACCTCAAATAAGCAAGGGGCATGAAATACCATGAGAACAGTACTTACATATAAATTCGAATGAAATGGAAACCAGTCGAATGCAATTCATGGAGCAAGATTTAAAATTTAAAATTCAATCGTATAAAATAATCTATAAACCTAATAATTTTTAGTGAATCTTCGTTGTCTACAACGTTTTTAATTTTACTGAATGTCAGATTCTATGCTCGCAGTTACGGAACACGTAAATATCATTTATATTATATTTGATTAGTACATCGATACGAGTATGCACTCTGTAATTAAAAGAAAAACCGCGAATCCAGCGTCGACGAGCGGCGGAAATTCGCTGGGAGGTGTCTCTGACGACGCAGCCTACTATTTTCGGAGTCTGTTCCGGATTTCAACGTAAATTCTTCCCCGGCGATTCGTCTCGCGCTCGCGTCTGAAAAAGGCCTTACGAGCAGTCATTTTTCAGGCTTCCACTTTAATAACGCGGCTCGTATCCGAAAACACCTTCCTCTGAACGTTTCCCAAGAACACTCACGCTTTGTAACGCGACCGTCAAAGGGCCGCTTTGTTTCCAGCGGCGCGCAAAAGGGAACCGTGCTCGCGTGTCCTCGTTATCGGTGTAAATAGCCATTACGCGCACGCGAGACCCGTTGAAAGGAACAGTTTACGCTCCAGGGAGCAAAGAAGAGATTGTCGGGCACTCGGACATTCCCGTCTCTTCATTCGCCTGCTAAAAATCGCCACCGTTTGGCGCAGGTCGCGCTACATTCCCGCCATATTGAACCACATATTAGTTAATTAATACAAATCGAGCATTAATCGATGATCGTATGCTTGGTACCGATTTTCGTGACAGATCTCTGAGGTTCGTTTTATATACAGTGACTCAGAGAAATGCTCATTATTTATATTAATCCACATTTATTGCAACCGATGGTCCATCATATAGGAATCGCATATATTTTACCTATATCTTGTCAATCGTGACTTATTGATATTATAAAAATTTATTTTATTTAAATCCATTCGAAAATTGTATACAAATTTTAGAAATCTCTTATACCATTATAATGATTGTGAAGAAACCTAGTAACATACTGGTAAGAGTTTTGGTTAAAGTGTTGTAAAGAATAAAGTCAAATTATAAAGCATTCATCGCAAATTTTCTGGTTAGAGAAGGGATTTTAAATTTGCAAAATGTCTGAAAAATAGGAAGAGTCTCGATAATTCAAAAAATAATTTAAAAAGCGACGTACAAAAATTGGAAATAACGGATGAATTATAATTTTATCATGGAGCTAGAATTTTATCATTAACTCATCTATCTCTCAAATTATATATTGCTTCCGAAGAAAATGATGCGATATGACTGATGAACATTAATAATGAGATATAAATTGCTCCATTATAGTATTATAAGCGCTTTATTAATCGTTTCTTCGTTCAAATTATGAATGTCACGTTAAACGAAATGAACCAAGCAAAATACAGGAAACGCTGGATCCTTCCATTACAGGCTCGATTTCATCGAATTATTGAATTTAGATCAAACAATGCCTGTAATTGCAGGTTATGATTTCACAGCAATTAATTGAGTAACCGAGTTTCCCTGTAACAAATATTTATTTGCAAGCAACGCAGAGATCTAATTAAACGTCAGAGCAAAATTGGATCAATAAAACTGGTTCTTGCACTTTAATTTACGTGAAATAATTGCATTTTATCTACTTGATTTTCTAGTTCGAATTTATAACTTGTGCTTGTAACTCAATTTTGCACCGCATTTTAGTTTAACCGTATTTGCTTCTAAACTATTACAACGTCAAGATCGTTTACATTCATCCTGAAAAGGTTACGTAAAAGCTTACTAAACTAACTTGCAACGCGTTAAAATTGGAAAACTGGATTATTTAACTGTATCAAATTAAAATTGAATTTTTAAGGAAAAAATTTTTCGAAAGTTATCGAATTTTGGAATCCGACAACTTTCCAGTGACGTTCGAACGGTATAATACACTTTTCCAATGGCAGCGTTAACTCGAGCGTGCACGTAAATACGAAAGAATCGCAATTAAAACTTCGTATGACAAACGCGAGACGCTCGTCAAAGCGACGAGTGGAATTGTATTAATTAAAAACTAGTACCGCGGAAAGAGGAGCTTGTAACACTTCGTTACATGCCCGACTCAATTTTCGAGCCGCGCTCCGGAGTATCAGTGCTACCATTATACGCTCCTTGATAAATTAATTTTACTTTCGAGTTACGGAACACAGGCGACTGCTTTGTTAGCCTTCGTTTATTCCGGAAAGTTACAGTGTTCGTTACGCAAATACCCCGCGTATACCATTTATAGCATAGTCGATGCAAATTTTATCGCAATAAATCGATGCGCAGCAACTTCTTTATTTTATACGATCGAACTGTTCAATTCTTATTCGAACGTTTTCTAAATTTTATTTACGACATTTTTATTTTTATTCAACAGCTAACGAAAGTTCGAAATTTGTATCTACACGGTGTACCTTCTAACCTGTCAAACGATTGAACAAAAAAAATTTGTCACTATCCAGCGAAAAATTTTGAAACCAGTAGAAATAGTAGATATTGGCCAGACGCGTCGGACATATCGTATCGAATTCCACTACTGTCCGACTTCAAATTCAATTATCTCGAAAACGAAGCATCGTACGGAAAAATTTCAACTCACGTTTTCGACTTATTTTTTCATATGGAATCATCGTCCTAACGGTACCATGATTAATTTTTTTATTTTTTAAAATTCTAACTATTAAACTACTTAAGAATTTTATGTTTCTAGCTAGAATTTTCGTTCGAGAGTACAGGATACTGTAATGTTTAATGCTTAGCGTTTAATAATAAATTAACAAACGTTTAAAGCTTAACGACGTTATGAAAGAATGGACGCCACATTGCACGAGAAAAAGGAAGGAAAGACGAGTTACGGTGAAAAGATAAAACTATTATCCGAAGTGAAATTTAGTCAAGAAAACGGAGTGGTTTTCCTTAAATTTTCGAACGGGACGAGATAATTTATCCACGACACCGGGAACGTCGCAAAGACATTTTTATAGCTTGTTCCCCGCAGAGTTTTCACGAGAACGATCCAACGGATAAAGTTGGCGAACACGATTTTACGGTCGGCCGATGTTCTTTATTGCGTGGTCACGTACTTCAACGACTTTCTTTAAGGCCACATTGTGGGTTTTAGCTTGTTTTAGTTGATACATTGTAAGAAACAGTCTTCTTCTAACGTATAACACGCGTCCATCAAACACAACGGAGGCTAGTCTGCGAGCTAAACGTATTGTGTTGACCAAATAAAGAACGTACCTTAAATTATAATAGTAATCGTAGTCTTCGTGGTATGAATCTTGTTAAATAACAAAATTTTAATAGATTTAGAGACATAGAATCTTTTATATACGTTTACCTATTTTTTATTCTGTTTTTGAACCCAAATATTTTAATTTCTTTTTTTAAATAGAATTTATTATCGAATATAATAGAACCTTGATTATCACAGAAAATCGAAACTGAAAACACCTCCAATAATAAACGTAAACAATCCCACGAGAAGTAGCCTTACACTGAGTTGGGCAAAATCTGGTTTCGATTTGTCACGATTCCATTTCCATTTTTGTTTGATTATTTTGATTTTACGCAAAGCAGACATTTTAAAACATGCTATTGTAATTTTCTATCGACGTTGGAGAAATTTTAATCGCCTCATTATTTCCGCTTCCTATGGGGAAAAAACGTCGAGTATAGAGGATTTTCTGTACGCGTGCGCGGACGCGAATTCCCGCCTTGTAATCCCCGCTGTGTGAATTATCATCGACAAAGCGTGTAACGTTCGCGACGTCACCGGGCAACGTAATTGCAGACTGGCGTTGATTAACGTCGCCGATCGATCGTACGTCACTGATCGATTGTGCCAGCGATCGACACGCACGCGTCGATCACCGCGCACGCTCAATCTTCCTTTAAACTAACGCAATTTGTGGCCTCTCTTCCTTTCCACGGCTATTCATATCCTGGCCACGCTTTCACGACATACTAATTTACGGTGTATCTATGTAAAAGAAGGTGTTTCGCGAAGGGACGAGACTCGCTGATTGCCCATCGTGATTGGACCCCATAAGTAAACTCGTGTGTGGTTGTAATAACCCTTTACCGATCACAATAATTTGAAAACCTCGCGAAACGAGCTCGAGTGTCGTTCACCTTAAGCTAATTTCAGTTATTAGATTCGATCGTTACTTTGTCGCTGTACTCGTAAGGAACCAGTGTTTTTCGAACGACCTCTTCGTCTATAATATAGTTTTGTTCTTATTGCTTAAACAAAGCTTATTTATTTATTTTCAAATAACGGATTGCGCGCCATATGGAAGAAAAATATTGACGAAGAAAGAATATATTACAATCTATACCCACGAGTCCATACCTTGCAATATATTTTTTCTTCGTCAATATTTTTTATATTTATTATATATGTACATTATGTAAAATAAGCTTTGCTAATAAGCAAATTGCTTACTTAATCGTCCAAATTTATTTTGTCGTCTTCAAAGTAGGCCCCATCAGAAGCAATGCACATACGCCAATGCTTCTCCCAGTCTTCAAAACACTTTTTAAACGCTGAAGAGGGTAACGCCTTCAGCTCCTTCTGCGAATTTTCTTTTATGGCCTCTATCGACTCAAAACGCCTTCCCCGAAGGGGTAATTTGAGTTTTTTGAAATAAGAAAAAGTGACAGGGGGCCATATCTGGTGAATACGGTGCTTGTTCGATCACATCTGTTGAGTTCTTGGCCAAAAATTCGCGTACCAAGATTGATATATGCGATAGAGCATTATCGTGGTGCAGGATCCAATTGTTTTTCCACACATCTGCCCGTTTCCGACGAATATTTTCACGCAAGCGTCTCATGACGCTCGAATAATATTCTTTATTTATTGTTTGTCCATCTGGGAGGAATTCCGAATGAACAACACGACCTTAATTTTCGAGCGACTTTGACGCGGTTTTTTAGAGTTTGGTTCATTTTCTAAGCGGTATTCCGAAGATTGTTGACTTGTTTGCATATTGTACTCATAAACCCATGTTTCGTCATCGGTTATGATGCGTTTCATGAAGGTAAAGTCACTAGAAGCTCGTGAAATCATGTCTTCAGCAACTGCTTTTCGATGTTCTTTGTGCAGAAAATTCAGCTCCTTCGGAACAAGTCGTGCAGCGACGCGTCTCATGGCCAAAACTTCAGTTGAAATGTTATGCACGGACATGTGAGACATTTCCACTTCATGAGCCACCTCTCTAACACTCAGGCGACGATTATCGATGACCATTTTTTTTATCTTTTCGATGTTTTCATCAGTCGAAACAATTAACGGTCGGCCAGCATGCAGCAAATTTTGCACTTCTTCTCTGCCCTCTTTTAATGCCTTGTGCCATTCGTATGCTTGCGTTTTTGATATGCACCATTTACCATAGACTTTCTGTAACATTTTTAATGCTCTGACACAAGAAATTTCATTAGAAACGCAAAATTTAAGGCAAATTCTTTCGCTCGACAGTTCTCTCTATCGCAAAAATCGTAAAGCAGACTCGAGATCGACTGGTGTAAATAACTGCCGTGAATACACTGGTTGTCATATTGCGATCAAATTTAGCGTAACAACTGAATACAATGTTGCCTACTTACACACAAAAATTTGTTTCAATACATGCACTGTGGGATTTGAAAGTGAGAAATTCCAGGAACTTATTTTACACAATGTATATTTACTTAAATTCGACACTTGTTTCTCATGTCATGTTACCAGTCGAAATTGAGCAACCAGTTTCTCAAATATTGTTTTAAGTCGACGTGAAAATTTGTTGAAATGAAACGCAGAATATAGGATGATAGTAGATTTGTTTTTTACAAGTAGAACAATTTGGAATAATATCTGAAGTAGTTCAGTCCGGGTAGCGTTTCCCCGCGTTGAAAACGATACCGGTAGAAAAGATTGATACTAGAATCATTCTGTGCAGGTAACATGCACAACGCGTGCTCGTCATTAAATTGTTCGCCGAAATTGGTAGCGCTGGTACGCTCGTGAGCACGAACGAAAGGAAACACGGACGAAACTGGGTGAAATTCTCCGAATACAATGTCACGAACACATGTTGCATCACGGATCCGATGTGCAGCCCGTTTTACGCGCGCACAAACTCGCCTACGGCATCTGCATTCGTGTCATTCTTGCCCGTGGTTTTCGTTTAATTCGAGAAAATCCTAATATTTTCTTTGACGCTCGTCGAACCAATTTTTAGTGGAACTCGATTTCCGGTTAACCTAGGGCGGATCTGTTGCTTAATTGTTTCTATCATGGCACGAACGATCCAGCGAAAACTAAAATTTCTTATAATAATTTCACTGTAATGACGAATTTCAAAAATTTCTCACTTTAGAAATTGCTGGTGTTGGTTTTTGCCTAAAATGATTTGTGAATTTAGACCGTCGAAGCATGATAATGAAAAATTTTCTATTTTTAAACTCAACACATAGAGAAACGCAAGAAGAATCCTGAAATCGGTCACATTTTGTCAGTAGTTTCCACCAGCAATAATTAATAACTGACTTTAATAGAATTATTCGATGATCGAGGAAGCACTTAAACGTTGCTGACATCGAAAGAATCGAGTAAAAATATTAGAAAGGACATCCAGGCGTATTGGAAGGACGTTTCCTATATTCGATTAAGCATTGATCTATCAGTTTCAAAGGAAATTAGGAAACAATTCCTTGCGTAGTTCCCTTTCGTCTATTCTCTTATATCTTCATTTATGGTAATTTGATAAATCACCCTCGGTGACGAGCACATCCTCGTAGCTTCCCTCCGGAGCGTCGAATGTTTCGTTTTCAGGGCGGTAATTTGCATTGCGGAAATTCTGCTCGCCGAACCGTGATGAGACGAGGATATCGGCGTAACGTAGGCTATACAATGACATTAATTAGTCCGACCGATCGGCTCGTACAAAGATGGCAGAACTGATATTTTGTTGTATATTCCCGAACTAATTACACCGTCTCGCGAATAATCTGTGGAATCGACGACGTCGAAGCGAACGGCGTCAATCAGTGGCGTCGATCTTTCATTCGGTGCATTATTGATCGTTCCTTCAGACGTGTTTCACAAAAAAAACGTCTCGCCTGTTAATTACGCGTACGACGTGTATGTTCACTAAGCTTATTTTATTACATAAAAATTTCACACGTTTTATCTGTTCGATTGTAAGCAACCTGAGTGTTATATTTACTTTGTTCTTCTGGTACAATTTATTTACATGTATATTATAATCAATCTTTGCATACTGAAAATGATTCAAACGTTTATATCAAATATTGTATTTTTAATTATAAAAATACTCGACCATTTTTGGCGTTACAGAAAAGAGCATTTAACGAATCTCGCTCGTCACGATTTCTTTTCGCATTTTCTTTACAGTTTCAAGTGCACGGAATATTGTATCAAAGCGGCGTATAGAAATTCAAACATTCGTCGAAGTTACATCGACGGAGAGAGAGACGCGTCGCGTTATACACTCAAAACAATGCTTTGAAACACAATGTTTATAAAACTACTCTTCCGCGAGTTGTTGAAGATGCGATTCATCCAATACAGAAAAAATTCAGGTCGAGTTTTTAACAAGACGCAAGAAGTGAATTGTATAAAATGAATTTCTGTAGAACAACATATATTTGTAATAAAAACAAAGTATTTTTTTGCTAAACCAATTCGATGAGAGCTTAGAGCTACTCGAAGGGAAGTAAAAGAATTCTCAAACGTAATTAATCAATTATTAAACGTAAAAGCGCTTACAATATTAAGCGTTGTAAATGTCACGATTCGAATACTGGTGAATTGCTGTCGATATTGTCACTGTAATGACGTTCTTAATTAATCGTATCGTTTCTCTGTGACAGTGTTAGAGCATCGAGGCGACATTAGTTAAATCTCGAATACCTTATTAAGGATTTTCGACGTATTGATACACGTTTAGTTCGTTGCGGCGTAATTAGGATGGTAATTACGTAGATAACTGCGGAGGTCGAACGAGCATTCGAAGTTCAATTTGCCGGTGTGATTATTAAATGTGTACGCAGTGTATTCCGTTACTACTGTGGGAAATTCCCTACGGGCCCACGGTGGAATGTCAGTAATCGAAATCACAACAGTCTGAGCACGGGACGTTCATTACCGATAAATTCAACCGATTGACCTGGAAATAAACTTCCAATTTAATTTTCATCGTACGTCAACGTCATACACTGATTATAACGTTATTATTTGTAATTAAGTATTGACGAATATCTAGAATTCCAGCTCTGTAGTTTCGAAATTTCGTTGCATTCAAAAAATATTAAAAGTTTCGTTTGAAAAATGAGTCATTAAAACTTTTCTTTAAAATATTCCCTTTTAAAAATAATTTCTGAAAATGGGTTTAAAATCGAAATTTGGAAACACTTCTTCGTTAAAAATGAAATTTGAGCAGGCAAATAATTTCACCAGGTTTGCAGTCTCCTATTGTAAATTAGTGATATTAGAAAAATGTTAATATTTCATAAAGCATGATGAACAACAAAGTGTAAAGACGATTCGAATAAACGGGACCGGTTCCTTTATGAAGGTATAAAGTGGTGATTGCAGCGTTGATCGCGCCATATTCTGCAACGGACCGCGGAATAATGGTTCAACGTGTAATTTATGGCTACGTTTATTAAGCACGTCCGCGAAACATCCTATTTCTATTGTGGAAACTCTCTTTAGCGTAATGTATAATACCGGTGAAGCACTGTTGCGTAATCCGGGCGATAACATTGATTACTAAAAGCGCTGAAACGATCCTCCTCTGCGTGAATCTGTGGAGTAATATTTATTGAGTGACCGGGTCCGTTCATCTGGATATTTGTCACGGATCTTCCACTCGGAAACGACGAACGCGACTCGAAAATGCTGACGTTCCAATAAATTATGCTAACGATTATATTTAATAAAATATTTATACGAACTGACGTCTCGTAAATTAAATTAAATTCGAAAATGTACGAACGGTGAAACAGGATCGAATCTACGCTGTTGAGGGCCAGGAATAAAAATGAAATACCGCGAAGCATTTGAGAGGCGCTGGATATCGTTTAACGCATAATTCGTCGCGGGGGATCAAACACCGTGGCCAGAAAGACTGCTTAATCAAATGAGAACATTAATTGTATCGAGCGATCGGAAGCGTCCACCGACGAGGCGTTTCACAAATGAAGACACGCTTTGTTAACTTCCGACAGGTCCACAAAGGGAAACAATATCCAACGCACCGATTGTCCTTCAAAATCGAGTACGAATTTAATTACGTCGAAGATACATTGTTCCGGTCGCTTTGGAAGCTAACATGAACGTGAAACGATAACAAGTTAAACCCCCCCGTAACGGAAATTATATTTTGCTTGGGTTTGGAATCACGATCGATACATACTGATACAGTAATGATTCGTATAATAATCATTAGTGTAGCAGTATTTAACAGGACTTAAAAAATCCAGATTATGGGTTTGCAATTTCAGAGTTGTGAGTCTGTAACGATTATATGTATACATAATTCAACAGTATCGAAGATTTTTTTTATTTACTTTTTTAAACTGGTTATTTCTAAAGCAAACGATAGTGTGGGAATCGTTTCGTTCGTCGTTTCCAGTGGTTCAGAAGTTTGTATCCTCGAAGGTATCGTTCGTATTATCGAAATGTTTTATCTCCCCCGGTGATGTCTAATTGAGTCCTCTATTTGCCCATCTCTATCGTTCCTACCTCTACCATTTCATTACCGCATATATCGCGCCACTGTCTGCGCGAAGCATCTAATTAAACTTCCGATCGACCCTGTTCGCGAGACGAATTTTACCCTGTGATACACACGGCCCTGTCTCGACGGAACATCGTCGATGCGGAAGCACTTCCGAGAAGACGAGTACCGTTTGCCTCGATCAGCCAGCTATGTACCAAGGATAAACCTTTTTATCGCTTTAACGAGCTTTCCTTCCTTTCTGAAGTTTATCGAATTCGTTGTCGCCCCGCCGTCAAAGAGAAACGCTCCGATAGAAAGTTATTTCGAGCGTGCGATTAAATGGGATCGAGGAACAGGCGATATTTTACTATCGCGTTCGCTTAGCTTCACAATCTGCCAAGAATTTTCATTAACTTCATACTGTGCCGTGGGATTGTCGAAAATATTCGAACCGTTGTTCTCGACATTCTTTCGATTTACACCACCGACCGTAAGTATTTCGACACTCGTAAGAAACTCTGTCAATATTTCGATCATTTTCACTCCGCGAAATGAAAAGAAGAAAAATCTTATCGCGTCTCTAGCCGAAGATGGTTTTAATCTGAAAAAGACTTCACGCTCGAACGGTCTCCAATAGTTTAAAAATTGATGTACAATTTTGTCGTCGCTTTAATGCACTTTG